GGTTATCTCCAGGGGCCGGGTGTTCAGAGCCCGATCCCGTCTGGGCGGCAGCTCCGAGTGTCTGGTCCCATGGTACCGGTCCCTGCCCTGGTTAAAGCCCTGGCGAAGCGCGGAGACGCCGGTGGTGCGTTTGGGGGAGCGGCTGTGTGGGGGTGAACCGGGGAGCCTCAGCCCCGTGGTCAGAGGGAGCCAGGGGCTCACACGCCACACACCCTGGCTGGGAGCCGGAGGAGGACCCCGGAGTTGGTTGGCTGCCCCGGCGTTCCCGTCCGTAGGGGGTGGTGAAATAACAAGATCCGGTTCCAAGGTGTCTCCCGGCTCTCTGGTGGCTCCGGGATCTCGGCGCGGGAGGGTCGCTCTGGCGCTGCCAGCCAAGCGCTGCTCTCCAGGGTCACAGTGGGGAAGCAAAGAAGGGCGGGTGGGAAGACAGGAGCTTGCTCCTCCCCAGACCCCATCCCTCTGGGAGCGGCACAGCAAACCCACCGGCTCCTTCGCTGGCTGCGTCTCCTCGTGGTGGCTTCACGAACGAGGCCGGGGGGTGTTTGGGGAGGGGGAGAAGGGCTGATGCCCCCCACCCTGCATGTGGCCGGATGCGTGTTAAAGGTGCCCAAGACGCGGGTGGGAAGACAGGAGCTTGCTCCTCCCCAGACCCCATCCCTCTGGGAGCGGCACAGCAAACCCACCGGCTCCTTCGCTGGCTGCGTCTCCTCGTGGTGGCTTCACGAACGAGGCCGGGGGGTGTTTGGGGAGGGGGAGAAGGGCTGATGCCCCCCACCCTGCATGTGGCCGGATGCGTGTTAAAGGTGCCCAAGACTGGTGTGATCCCCTGCCTTAGAAAAGAGGCCACCCCGGGCACCCCCAGTCCTTCCTTCCCCCCGGGAACCACAGCCGCCAGGCTGAGCCCTCCGGTGCGGGCACTTCTAATCACGGCAGCTAATTACCGAGCCGAGCGAGTCGCTGGAGCCTGCCTTTAAATATAATGAGAGGAAGGGCTAATTGGAAACCCCAGAGGAAGCTGCCAGCTTGGCTGTCCGGGCGGGGGACTGGCACAGGCGTTGGAAATTACCGAGCCGAGCGAGTCGCTGGAGCCTGCCTTTAAATATAATGAGAGGAAGGGCTAATTGGAAACCCCAGAGGAAGCTGCCAGCTTGGCTGTCCGGGCGGGGGACTGGCACAGGCGTTGGATCCGCGCGTAGCACGGACAGTGGCCAGCCCTGGGAGGCAGAGGGATCCTGTCCCCGGGCCCTGCACCCCCACTCACCGCCAGGCGGGGAGAACGGAAGGTTTATTAGGGACACAGGGTAGCACAGACTTGTCAGCCCAGGAAGCAGGAGCCATCGGTACAATCGGTCTGGGGGAGCAGGAGCTCGGAGCCAATGCGGAGCCAATGCCCCTGCCCCCCCATCTCTGCCCGCCAAACCAGCGAAACCCCCCTCACACACCCCAGCAGCCCAGCTCTGTCTGTAGCTAGACCCACCTCCAGCCTTGGCCCTGCCAAAAGGTGTCACCCGGTCACAGCCCCCTGCCAGGCTCAGGATACCAAGAGGCTAGGCCATTGTGAACGAGCTGGCCTGGGCAGCCGGCCTCTGGGCTCCACGCCCCGAATTCCCATCGCATTCTCCATAGCGGCGCAGTGCCTAGGGAAACTGAGGCACGCGCACGGGGTTACTGCGGGAGGGTAGAAATCGCCTGCAACGTAGTGCTAGAGGGAGCCGGCCTGCAGCTCTGAGGTGGGTGTGCCCCCCCCTCCAGCATTTCACCAGCATTGTGCCCCCCCCTTCCTCACGCAGCGCTCCATGGGCTGGCAGAGCCCCCGCAGCCTGGAGCAGCCGGGCGAGCTGGAGGTGCGCCGGCTGGAGGCGGAGCTGGACGAGACCCGGCACGAAGCCCAGAGCTGGCAGCGCCGCGAGGAGCAGCTCAAGGCCGAGTGCGAGAGGCTGCAGTCTGAGCTGAAGCAGCTGCAGGAGACACGGGCGCAGG